GAAGATAAGAAAGGCAGTCAAGGTGGGCTGGATTGAGGTCGCTTGTGAACACACAGGGATTCTTCACTGATGATGCCTTTGACCCAGGTCATCTCCAGTGCTCCTGACCGGTCCCCCTCCTTCTCTCTCCTCTTTCCGCTTTGGGTTTGTAGGACCCGAACGGCGGATCGTCCTGGTAGGCAAAACCGGCAATGGGAGAAGTGCGGTGGCCAACACCATCCTGGGAAGCAGGGTCTTCAAATCCAAGATATCGTCCGTGTCCGTCACCAAGACTTGCCAATGGGAGGAGGTCGTGCTGAACGGCCGGAAAGTGGTGGTGGTGGTGGTGGACACGCCGGGCTTCCTCAACAAGGGTCGTCCAGAGCGGGAAACCTTGGCCAAAGTGAGGAAGTGCATCAAGTTTTGCCCCCCGGGCCCCCACGTCATCCTGCAGGTGATGCGCCCAGACCGCTTCACCCAGGAGGAGACATACATGGCGCACTTCATCAAGCAGATCTTCAGCTTGAACGCCAAGGATTACATGATCATCCTCTTCACCCGCAAGGAGGACCTGGAGGGCAAAACCCTGGAGAAGTTCATCGCCGAAGGCGATGAGGACCTGAAGGAGCACGTTTACGACTGCGGCAACCGCTTCCTGGCCTTTAACAACAAGGCTGAAGGCGCGGAGCGCGAAGCTCAGGTGGGCCAGCTGATGGCAATGATTGATGCGCTGGTGCACAAGAACCGTGCCGCGCCGTGCTACATGGAGGAGATGCTCAACATTGACAAGAAGCACCGGGACTTTTCCTGGCTGTCTCCTTTCGTTTGAGGGGGATGGCAGTGAAACACTCGGGCCAGCTTCCTTTCTTCTTTCCTCCCTCTTTTCCTTCCTTCCACCTTTTCTTCCTTCTCCCTTCCTCCCTCCTTCCTTATTTCTTTCCCTCTTTTCCCTCCCTCCCTCCCCATCTCCTTCCTTCCTTCCTCCATTATTTCTGTCCCTCCTTCTCTCCTCCCTCTCCCCATCTCCTCGCTTTCCTTCCTCCCTCCCTTCCTTCCCACCCC